CTGTCATTGCTTTTCATTTTCCTTTTCTCCAAGGCTGGTCTGGAAAGTATAGGGAGTACTTGAAGATGCTGCTATTTTTAAAAAGTCTGTCTTTGGAATAAGGGCTTGTCAACATGTATAAACGGCATAGTTTTAAAGATTATCTGGGACAGCTTAATATATTTTTCAAAGTTTTGTGTGTGTATATTATAAATACATAATGTATATACACATTATATATAAATGTATAAAAATGTATATATAAAATGTATTTTAATGTCTATTAGCTATTACTGTTATAGTCTCATTCTTCTGAATTCAGCTTGACCAATTGGCTTTTATGTGATAAGCCTTGTCTATAATAGACTTTTAAAATTAGAAAACTTTTCCTGTTACAGACAAGCCAAGTACTCAAGTCTCTTCCTTCCCTCATCCACACAACACTATTATTTAATACTCCACAGTAATAATCAAGACTGTTACTGTTAGGAATTGAGATATTTCTATAGTATACATTTTTTTTTCTGAGAGCACTATTTATTCATAATAATAATAATAAACTACAGAAAGCCTATCATATTGGTGTCTGATGGGGACATGTTATTTCTATGTATAAGCCTACTGAATTTCCTATCTATTCCTGAAAACAGTTGAGAGAACTCCACTGTTTGTTCAATGTGCTTAGTATGTTGAATGGGGACCATGTCTTGTGTATATTGCTCTCACTCCCACTTCTTGGCAGTTTCCTCATTCACTGCAGGACTGAAGTTATACTGGAAAACCCTGCATAACAGGGAACTGATGGGAAAGGAAAAGAAACCAAAAGTTGTATTTTTCCCTTGGTCAATTCCTGGGTACAGTTCACTTAAGCTGTCAGGAATACTTGTGTGTCATGAAAAAAGAGGCCATGCGGAGTTGAAAATAAGTGATGGGACTGAGGGAGGAGGTAGATTGGTGTTAAGGTAGTATTGCAAACAAAATGGAGTATGTTAATGGCCCTAAGCATTAGTATCTGCTCTTCACAGCATATCCGATACTGTCTTTCAACGGGGTGATTAGAAATGACCAATATGAGATATTTTGTGTGATAGAAGCTTGCTCAGTACAGATCACACCCAAATCATTTATGTGCTCTGCAGTCATGTTTCTTGGGGTTTCTCTTCTTTCAGTGGAGAAAACCCAGTCATTTGAGTGGAGAACTGTTTTCCTCCTCTTTTATTTCTGTTTTGTCTCAGTCTTGCTGTTGTCACGGTGCGTATTCTGAGCTACCCTTTTCCTTGTAGATGAGCGACCTGAAGTAGCAGAACCTGCAGCTGTAGAAAGAGATTTCTTGGGGAAGTCTATTGACCTTATAAGAAATAAAGAAGTTGGCATTAAGCAAGACAAATCTGTCTTCAGATCTCAAGCTGGTGAGTTCAACAACTCTAGTAGAAGTTATAATTCTTTTAGAAGGTGAGGTATTTTTTTAACTAGACTTAATATTACATACAAGTTATTAAAGTCAAGCGAAGTAATTAACAGTGTTTTTCTCCTTTATTCTTTCTGAGAAAACAGTCCGTCTGCCATTGCTCATGTTGCTTGGGAGCCCCTGATATGACATCACCCTACTAATACCTAGGTTGTCATAAAGGCTGGATAAATGTACTTTAATAAAAAAGTATTGATGTTATAAACTTACCTTTAAAAACTCAATTAGATGTTTAGTATTTCCATCTTTTCTCACCAGGTATACAGGTGCTAGGACTTGTCTGTTTGTTTCTTCCAAAATAAATACTTCAGAATTTGTCCTCATGTCCCCCATTCCTTGAACAATTCTATTACTTCTGTCAGCAATATTTGAGTTCCTTTCCCAGACTGAGGGAGGCAGCAGGATACCAACGTTGACAGGAACAATGAAGTAGCTTTCCAACACCACGATGGAAAAGGAGCAGGAAGGAAGAAGGGTGCTGTTTGCATGTACTTGTTCTGAAAGCCATGGCAAGAGCACAGGTTGCAAGTCCTGCTCAGTTTTCCCTATAAAGTGGGCCAGAGATGCTGCTTTCTTGCTTTTGTGTTTAACTAAAAATAGTAACTGGGCAAAAAAGTAATTAAAGCAATAGGAGTGTCTTAGTCTATATGTATGTGAAATTTGAACAAACTTAAAGTGTTTTAGGTCACCTTTAAGAACGATTCATTGATCAGAGATACTTTGTGACATTGTACCTGACTGCAAGCATCTTCAGGTCTTCCATATATCATAAAAAAAAAAAAAAGACAAGCATCTTCAGGTCCTCCATATATCATAAAAAAAAAGACATAAGATCATTTTAGGTTATTCTTAAGTATAGCTTACTCACAGCAGCAGTGAGTCAATGTTATGAGTTCCTCACTCCATCTTCAGCATTTTTCTTATTATTACCTGCAAGACTGCCATGTAGTCAGAGGCAGAAGACAACTACATAGATCATCTCAATCCCAATAGAGAGTCTAGTTCCCTAGACTAGACTTTGTATTTTGTAACCTTTTGATTCACAGAGAAGTTTAAGAGGAGCTGATGAGTTTGGATTCACTTAATGAATGATAAATAGTACAGTGTTAAAGAAGTTTTCCAGCTAGACAGGGTTTTTCCTTGCAGGTTAAATTTGGGAAGATTCTTCTCTTAATTTCTGCTTGCTGTAGTTCTGCACAAAGAAACCTTCTGCTTTTGTTTTTTGCTCTTTCATGGGTAAGAGGAATCAGTCCGGTCACTGAGTCTGAGTCGCCAGGCCTGTCTCATTAGATTGAGGTGACTTATGAGATGATGCCAGTTCTGCTACCTGCCTGCACTATCACTTTATCATCCTAGCAGCTAAGGACTTCTCTATTTAATTGTTACAGTGCTTCCAACTATTAACAATGTGAAGAACAGAAAGTAAAGTTCATGCTTGTGCTTCTTTATGTAAACAGTACTTTGTACTGTTTGACTGGTTATTCCCAAATCCATCAGCATCAATCAAGCACTTCTGTGTGCACTGCGTCTTGTAAGCTAGAGTATCAACATATACATAAAGTAACCCCAGCAACTTTCATATAATGACATCTACAAATGTCTGCCTCCCCTTGCCTTAATTCAGCACTCAGCAGCTATGAGACTCTTATCTACTTCAAGTGTTGCAGTTTGTTTTTCTTGTTGTTTTGTTAGTAATAGTAAATCAATAAATAAAGGTATATGCATTGAACATACATATTACTTTGGAATCTTCGTCAGGTAATATAGCAAGAAGTTTATTATATCATAACCGCTGATAGGATTAACTGTGAATAAATGCTTGGCTTGCCTCTGAGAATGCCCTGGAATATAATTTTTACTTTTTGTAGTTTTACTTGTACCTTGGAGGAAAGCAAACCTAGATGTTGACTTCAAGAAAAATAAGAAAGTTTTGACATTATTGTTGTCTCTTTGTTCCCTGCCTCTCCATCAGCTCTCTGCCAGCTGGCTGTTATTAGGCAAATGTATCTCCTAAAGGATTGTCATTACTATGAGTCCCTGATTCAATTTTTCCAAAGACCATTAGTCTTGGAGTGGAATAAACTTTAAAAATTACTAGAGAAAACAGCAATTCTTCAGCTTAGATGTTTTTGCTCTCGCCTTTGTGTGTTCATCTTTATGTGGAAACAGAAGGCTTTACTTCTCTGTATCAAATCTTTTTCTCAGCTTGTCCAATATATTTCTGTCTGCTGAGTAGACCTAGTTTGTATTCACTTGAGCAAGTTTCCGCATGCCCAAGCATTTAATTATTGACTTAGCACATTAACAAGCAGGTTTAAGGAGCTGGAAGGCTAAGAGCTAAAACGTGATAAACCCTGAGACAGTCTGCGGTTCTTCTAAGAGACTTGTAGCATTTAATAACCATAAAAGAATAGAATTTCATTTAATCTTTTTGACATGGTTGGATCTTTTATAAGGTCATGTAACAAATGAAATCACATTTTTTGCATATATGTTTTGGTTCTAAATATTGAGCACTGCTTGGAGCTAAAACCGATACATACCACTGGGAAATGGTGAGTACTGTACTAGTGTATGGAATCACAGAAACAGTAAGTAACTCACTAGGTGTATATAGTGCTTTATGTAGGCTGTGGTTGATATTCTGGTTCCAAGAAGACGGACATTTGAACCATTTGCTTCAGAAGGTCATTTTTGGTAATGGTACTTGTCCTTTTTTTTTAGGAATTTGTAGGAACTAAAACTTGCTGCTTAGTAGTATGCAAAGGGTGCATAATTCGTGCAGGTCTAGTTAGGCCTAGAGATTCCAGGCTTCTGTTCTAATTTGTTCCCTACTAGTCTGTTAAAAAGTCCTACTATTCTATAGTAAAATAATATTCTTAGATCTGTTTTATTCAAGCAAATTAGAGCATGTCACAAATTCATACAAACCCACTGTGTACCCTGTCTGGCAAGCTGAGATCCTATAGGCAGATAAATCCCCACTTCTTAGATAGATGCTGGAAGGTAAATTTCAATTAGCAATATCCGCATGGAAAGTCTTGCCTGTAAAGAAAGTTCACCTGGTTCATTAACGTCTTTATAGAGCTGGGAAATGATTTGTTTCTTTCTCTGGAAAAGAATGAGTGTCTTTGGAAAGAAACAGATCTGCTAGGTCCTCAATGTTGTCACTTCTCTCCAGTAGAAATAAAGGGAAAAATGTTGGAGGAACTTTTTTTTTTGGCTTTGAATTAATATTTATACTTAACCGGTAAAGACCTTTTTTATTGGACCATTTGTCTCAGTTCTGTGTTATCTGCACAAATCTTTCAGACATGACTTTTGCCTGTTAGGCTTATTTGCCTAGTCTAAACTATTGTACTCAGCTGTACAAAAGTAATTTTAGATCACTGTGAAATTCTTATCTAGAGATGTAGTTAATCTTTCTGAAAAGTAATTATCACTTAAGTGTGGCTACAGCCTTTCACGATTATCTTTCCATTATCCATTCAAATGGAAAACAAAACCCCAAGAAAATGTTCAGTTTTCTTTTTGTTTTTCGTATAGATTGGAAATGTCATCTTTAAAAATAGTTACATACAAAAAGGAAAGTTTGTGTAGGTTACTGAGTTGTTAAGTGCATTTGAGGGTTTAGAAAGTAGACCTAGGGATTAGTGATCTCCATTGGTGCATGTTGGATGCTTCTGTAAGCAGAGCAACGTGGTCCAGTTTGTTGTGCTTTAATGCCAATGTATTCTTGTTGTTTGTCATCTTAATATACATGGTTCCAGCCTGATGTCCGTTCTGGTGTCTGGTTTTGCTTTTCATGTCACCTCTTTCTACCTTTGCTCTTCTCTAAGAAAGTGATATGGGAATGAAGGATTTTGGGGCAACCAAGCAGCAGCAGAATGCGCTTCAGCAAGAGTAATTGGCACTGGCAGGGATCCTCTCCAGGCAGACATGCAGTGACATTTAAGTCTGCCACCACAAATGGAGATTAGCATTCGAGCATGTCTCACCCAAAAATGGAAAGGAGAGAATTTATCGTCTGAAAGATGAGCAAGAAATAAAACCAAACGCCAAAGCTTGTGCATACATCAAATTCTGTGCATCTGTGTCTCCTTTTGACTGAAGGGAAGGCAATTGTTTGCCAATGAGAAAACCTGAAAGTGTAAATAATCAATGTATAGTTAAAGTACTACTTTTTATAAATTTGACTGTGTTCTGACTCTCCTCCTGTAGTCCTAGATCTTTCTTTTTTTTCTTCTTCTCTATTTACTGTTGATCTGTTGATCTGAGTTCATATTAAACCAGTACTTCCGTTTTGAAATAGGTTGTGCAGTTGTGGTTAAAATCCCTGTTTGCTTTGCTAGAGTTGCCTGCAATGCCTATAGGGGTATATGAGCAAATGAGGGGTATCTGGTAGCACGCAATCCATGCACTGTTATGACCACTTTGTAATTAAATTGTAATACTATAAGTCAGAAACAACTAAAGTTAATGAATTAGGCTGGTATTCAGCTGTCACTAAGTGTTCAGCAGACCCCATGCATTTTACTCACCTGTCTGGGTTCTTAGTACATGCAATTTTTTCTTTTTATTCTCCTTTCTTTTACAGTAGTACTTGAAAATCTTTTATTCACTCAATATGCAGGATAAATAAATATGCATATACTTTATTAGTGTGAACAAACCCGGTGTTGGCATGGCATTTGCACTGTGCTAAAGGGATTATGCAATACACTTGTAAGGAAAATGACCCTACTACTAGGTGATCTTCTTCTGCTCACATGTTCCTAATTTCACAAAAATTGATATTTTATAGATATTCCGTATTTTTAATTCTTGTTCATCTGCCTAGGAGATATTACCTTTGGTTTTAGTGAATTTGCACAGAGTCCTAAGGAGCAATAAATTGCTTGATGATGATTGGTTCTGAACTGTGGCAGTTGTACTTAAATGGCATGTTTTTCTTGTCATCATAAAGCAGGGCTCACTGATTGCTACTTCACTTTATTTTAGATACAGATTCACTTACTCATTACAAGAATCAACTTACACTTCTGAAGAAATATTTTCCTTCTCTATAAAATTCCAGAGCAATATCCTAGGTACTTAAATTCATCACTGCCTATTTAGGAAAAGTTTTACATTGTTTCTTCCTGTGTTTTAAGAATTTGTCTTGTGGTTCTGCCGAAGTACCCCAAGGGCCTGGGGTTGCTCATGCACTAGTTGTCATACAAGCACTGCTTATCCAGAAAGAAAGTAAAACTGAATTTAAGTGAATCCATTGCAAATAAATGGAACAGACAATAGGGAAAGCATGTTTAAGTGATATAATCTTGGGGCCTAGCTGAGCAGGCAGCATTATTTGGTGTTTTTGAATACTTTGAATTAAATCAAACAAACCTACCATCCTTAACCCCTCAGTCACTATTAGTTGTCTGACTATTTTGACTCTCTTTTAAAAAATTATTTATTAAAAACATATTTTTAAAGCTAGAGAAGTGTTCTTCCTGTTGGTGGTTGGTTTTTTGTTTTTTGTTTTTTTTTTCCCCTCTCGCCTGTTTAAAGGGCTGGAGAGCAGTGGTGACTCTTGTGGCTGTGTAGTGCCCACGCAGCATCATTGTAGGTTGCTGCTAATGAAATACTGAAGTTGTGCCATGAGAGAAGAAACCTCTTATATTAGCTAGTTTGTATTGATTGGGTCTTTTTTAGTTGATGAAAAAACACCCACTAAGCATTGAATGAAGTTCTAAATCTCTCCTTATCCATCCATCCCAAATGCAATCTCTGTTTTTATTTATACCGCTGGAATGAAAGAAAATGAGAGTGTAAGATATTGTTTAAGCAAGGTCACATAAAGAATTTATAAAGTGATCACTGAAGCCTCAGAGGAAAGTGTTTTCCAATATAATAGCACTTCCTCAAGAAAAAAAAAAAGGAGAAAAAAAAAAAAAAAGTGGCATGATAGCGGACTATAGGTTATGTAATACAGCTGATACTCTTTCCAGAGTTTCCTCAATTGGCACTACCCTAATTTTCCAGTGGGGCTACAGGTCGCTACTCCGAGTTCCCAGACAAGTAGTTCTGTCCTTAAAAGTGAGTTTGTTATATTTTAGCATGATGCAGTTTCTGTTAGGAGGAAAGTAAATCCGAGTTAGGCAGTCATTGAAAGTCAATTTATTTAATATCAGAATATTCAAGTATCTTCTTGCTTTACTAATATATTTGTGCTATATCAAGTAGCCTTTATCTTTAGGCTTCTTATCTCCTCTCCACTTTTGATTCTGCTCATAGACGTTTACGGTACAAGTTTCCATAGTTATTACCAGATTGCCATTTAAATTCTGTGCTGCTCTCTTATGCGTAGCATCGCCTCCAGACTTGACATTGATTTTCTTTTTTATTAGCTAGATGATAAGAAGCCACAGAGATAGAAGACCAGTGATACTTTTCTTTCTCTGATGTAGTAATTGATATTTTTGTTTTGTTGATGTATCCCTATCAGAAGTTACTCAGGTGCCAGATGGAGAGCTGGAGGCTCTCTGCTCTTTTTGCACCATTAAGATAAGCAAGATGCATGACCAGCTGATCTCTAAGCAGTCAAGTGGTGGCAAACCAAGAAAGCTGCAGCATGAATCCACACCAAGGAAACTGAGGAAATTGGACACCAGTGACTCGAACTGCGTTGTTCCTCTTCGGCTCATGAATAGAATTCACTTGAAAAATATCAGGGAGACAACAAAGCAGGTACTGTAAAGAAGAAAATATAAATCTTGTCTGCACTTTAGGGAGAACTACTGAAGAAAAAAAAGAAAAGACAACATGATGTAAGGACCAAATTGTGCAGACTTTACTCATGCAATGCTCCCTGGCTTCTAGATGAGGTTTTTTGATTGGTATTTCAAGATTTACATTTCTCATCAGTTTGTTATATGCTACTGCCGAACTGTTGCTAGTGAATAATCAAATCATTGTGAAATATTGTGCAGTGATGAGATGATAATGGCTTGCATGATTGAGAGAGGCTGAGATGGGCATTTACTGGAATCCACAATAAGCCCCAGATTAAGTGGAGGAAAAAAAAACCATGTCGCTCTCTGGTTTTATTTGCAGATGTTATTTACAGAAATATTTTGCATATTATGTGATTGTGGAGTCTTGGAGAAACAGCTGGGAGGCAGTTATCTCCTTGGTGTCAGACTTTGGTGTCCATACCCCTGTGGTCTTGTCACACCAGCCCAAGGGGCCTTGCAGGATGAAAGACCATTCTTGTTGCCTCTCTTTTTTCAAGGAAAAAAAGGCATCCTGATTATTAAAAGCATTCCAAAAGTCACAAATCTTTCTCCACCACCTTTCTTTCCTTTAGTCTTTAACATTTGCCTAATGTTTGAAGCATGTCCAATAGATTCTAGGTTACATATGTTCATTTATTAAGACGTCTATATGGCATCTTTACAGTACTTGAAGAGCTTTTATTTTTTGGAGGCCATTTTTTCCCCCCAGTAGGATAGGCAAACTGACGTACCTCCTCACTTCAGCTCTGCATCTGCCAGTAATCTCAAGACTGGTATTTCTTCTTTTCTCCAGAATCGCTTGGAGATCGCTTTTTTTGGCCTTGTACTTGTAAATGGATGCGAGTATGCTATAGCAGTGATCACCTACAGATGACTTTAGACATAAATCTCAGTCTTGGCAAATGTCTGCACTATTTAAAATTGGTACAGAATGCCTGTATTCAGGAAAGTAGTTCTGATTAAAAAAAAAAATGAGCTTCGACTGCCAATTACAGTAATTTATTTGGCTTTTTATCTCTCGTGTACACCCCCTTTAAGTTTTTGCTGTAGAGCATGTTAAAAGTGGTTGTTAGCATATTCCTGTGCTAAGCCTGTGTCAGGTGAGCAGGGAATAATACTTTTCAAGTCAATTCTAGGATAGAGATTCTTTCAGATTTCTTGTTCACTGTTTTGTACTTTTATTCTGTTACCATTATCCAACTGCCTGCCCCCAAATTTTGTAGAGTTTTTACCATTTCTTTCTTTCTGTAACACTTTAAAAATATATGTTTCCTTAAAAAAAAAAAAAAAAAAAAAAACTTCGTTTGAGCTCTCCATCATCTCCTGTGTAGAACATATTTATGAAGAAGAGCTCAGGGGAAAAGGAGGCAGAGAGGGATTGAGACATAACTCTAGGAAGCCAAAATGATTGGTTCCACTGCTCTTACAACAACTTATTACATCTGTGTAACCGCATGGATTCTGTGTATATTAGATTAGATAAAAATAATTGATACTTCATGAATACCAACACCGAGATTTGTGTAAAGCCATTAAATATACTTGAGGTTCCATGGTAGGTAACCTAACATAGGAATTGCTAAGTAGTGCTGTATATCTCACAAAGAAAATTGCCTGCAGAATTTTATTTCTGATCCAACTCAGAGCTGGGCCTAGGTGTTTGAACTCATTGCCTCAGTTTATTTTTTCTCATAAAATTCGTACAGTAATCATAATCACTGTGGCTGGTACTTAAGGCCTTATGTATGTTGCCAGCATGGTTCCAGACAAGGTGTTACTGAAGCAGCCCAGTTCCTGACAGACAGTTGGATATGAGTTATTGCTGATTAACCATTGCTGATACTGAGCTGTGCTGATCAAGCATGTGTACTCTTTTTAGTCTCCTGGAAGTATGGAGTAAAACATGTTTAGCTAAATCCATCCTTCAAGAGCTGAGGGAGAAGGCTGGTTAATCAGACACCGCCTGTGGCTTCCTGGCTGATCAGCTACTTCTTAACCAAGATAACTTAGGGTTGCTGGTGCTCTAACCACATTTTAGCACCAGCAAAGCATGTGTAGATTTATCTTGGCAAAACTGTAATCTGTACTAAGCATCCACCCAAGGTCAAATGAGCTGGACTAATCAAAATAGATTTTTGCCAGTATAACTGTCTTCTCTATTGGCGTTGGCTGGTCACAGATGTGCTGCTTGGGTCTTGTGTCACCGCGTTTTTCCTGCCCTTATAATTACTCTTGAAGAAATGGGTCCTGTGCACACAGAGCTTCAAGCATCCAGCAGAGCTTTGAAGGAGCGTTTGTCTAATAAAATAAAAACTTGTAAATATATGTCAATGCTCTGATTCTGAAAAAGGAGTAGGTGATTTAAAATTAAACCAAGTTGTTATTACTAGAAGGGGTAATACATGAGGAAAAACAAATGTATTTTGATGCGAATACATTCAGATAGGCTCAACAAGCCTGTCTTCATAATCACAATGATAATGAAATAATTTACAACTGTTTACAAAAGCAAATATTTGTCTTTAGACACCATCTATATCAGTATTTTTATTGATTATTCTTAATGGTGAAACCATCTTGCTAGAACAGACCTTACTCCTTGCATCAAATTTTCATCTTTCAGGTGACAGAAGCTGTAGTGCATAAATCCTCACTGTGCCCTGACTGTATGAAGAAAAAGGCAGAGCTGGCCAAGATTAACTTTCTCAGACAAAAGAAGACTCTAGTAGAAAGAGCTTTGCTTCAGGAAAAAATGGAAGAACAGATTTACTCCAGAGTAAGCAAATGTTGTTAAAAAGAATGCTGTGATGCATTTTATATACATACTGCAACTAAAGAATCCATAAGCCAGACTCCCTCTTGATTTATGACAATGCAATTGCATTGACCTGAATACAGAGTAAGTCGAAAGAAAATTTGGCTCCCTATCTTTGAAAAAATACTTGGGACTAGCATGCTGATCAAGTCATTTGTGCTCACTTATATAAGCAGAAAGTCTCTCCCATAGGGTCCTGGAATTGTTTTGGGTACCTCTTGAGGAATTCTCAAGAGTCTGTTTTCTGACGGGATGTGCAACAGAAAAGGATAAATAACAAAATGATATAATAATAGGTAACTATACCCATATGAATCACCCTCACTCATCTTTAGAGTTAGAAGACTCAGAATAGGAGACTGCAGCATACTGTGGAGACTAAAGCAGATTACTGCTCTCAGGGACTTTTTCTAAGACTCCTTCTTAACCATGTCTATGATGTGATACGGTCACTTGAACATGATTTAAAGTGAAAAAGTGATTCCTGGAAGAAACCTTGACCATTTTTTAAACAGTTGCATTGAGATCAAGATGGCAGCTTATTATAGATTATACAGTTTGAATGCCATTTTTTTTCTGTCGCAATATCTACTCCAGGACATGTATATTTACCTTGTTCCTAAGCCCCTACTGCTGAGTGGCAGCAATATCACTTTTTAGAGCTTTTAACTTTGTGCTTTGAGCTTCTGCATGTGGACTTTTTTTTCCCCCTCTCTCTAATGGTGTGTGCTTTTTTCTCTAAATCTGTTTAACATTTGCTATGTGATTGTCACTTCCAGACTGAATAGGAGGGCAGAAAGTCAGGGCTAATGAAAAATACCTGAGAACTCATAGAGGAAGAGAAAAAGTGGCTTTACAAACAAGTACTCTTTAGCTGTCAGCTCTTCAGAAACACTTTGCCCTTGTAGATCACTGTTCTCTCTTCCTGGTTATGCTAGACTTAGGATATGATTAGTTCATACAGATACAGTGAGATTTCCCCTTAGAGGACCAATCGGCCTACTGTCACGGAAAATCGTTCTTGTTGGGAAATCCCTTGGAAATAGATTGTGGGTAAGGTAAGCTGAAATTCATGGGAACTCCTGGCTTTCCTGTGACTCTTCTTTAGGATGATCTATGTTTCAAAGGGTACTTATATTGGAAGCAAGTTGTTTCCAAGCAATAGGTAGGAAATCCCTCAAGCATCCAGACCTTTATTTCTGTGTTTGTAAGCAGGGCAGGAATTCATGGGATGCCCAACACACTCTTTTTCTCCTACTAATGCCACTTTCCTGATTTGTTTTGTTGGTGTGTTCATTTACTCTCTCTATAAAAACTTGCCTGCATTCCATATCTGAAGAACTTCAGTCTAAAGTCAGGCTTCTTTTCTCTTATTTTCCATCCAGCTTTTGTAAAAAGACCAGTCTTCCTTCCCTCCTTTCCCTAGGGAAGAAATGCTAGGGCAGCAGCCAGTGCGGTGCATGAGCCACATGGTATCATCGGGCTCTGTCATCTATCTTGGCAGCCATCTGCAGAAAGCAGTAGTGACACGTGGTCTCCAGTGACCAGCATAGATTTCTGCATGCCTGCTTTAGGGGGCAGATCTCTGTCCACGCTCTTCAACAAAGTTTTTAAAGATGATGCTTTAAAAAGGCAGTAACATTGTTGCTTTTCAGGGACTGGGTATAGCTGCCAAGATAGGGCTATGATAGGACATGACAAATAGCAGGAATTTAAAATCAAATAATATTCCGTGATTTGTTTTTATTTCAGGATGTGCTCACGCTTATAGGAGAAACACTCAGAAGTCTCCCCAAACTTTCAGAGGATCCCAGCAACGTATGGCAACGGCTGAAAGAGAAAGGTCAGAAAAATGTAAGGCCTGAAACTGGTAAACATAACTCAAGGACATAAAGAACTGGGAAAGTCTCCTGCAGGCAGCCATGTACTGAATGCCAACTATTGTGGATGTAACCTGTTTTGTCAGTGATGAATTGAGTGGTGGTTTAATATTCCTGCAGGTGGAACCAGATATGCCCAGCATGCTGCAGTTTGGGTTGTGATTGAACTCCCAGTTCTTTCCAAATGCAAATGCTGCAATACAGTATAATCCAGCTAAATGCATTTTTCAAATTAGGGAAGCCAACATTTTTTATTATTAATCTGACAAGCAGTAGATATTGTATTTTTTGAGGTCGCTTGTGGGATTTCAGAGCAGCTCACAGCTGCTTTCATCCATAAAAAAAAATAAATGATTTCATTTTTCAGGGCAGGAAGGTGTAATTACTGGGTTTCAGCTTAATCTTTGCCCACTGCCTCCTGTTAAATTGAAAGTGAGAGCCCCAGGTGGAGGAGAAAAAAAAGGTGGCAGAGTAACCATAGAAAGCAATAAAATGATATGCAGTATTTATAGAACTGAAATAATGAGTCTATAACAGAAATTAATCAGTAACACTGAGGATGTCAACAGGATAAGTAATGATAATAAATTAATCATAGAACCTGTCTGGAATAGGTGTCTAGGAGGAGAAAAAACACAACATAGATTAAAACTGGAAGAAAGTCAACACTTTTGACATTTTTTTTAATGTACTATGGAATTGTTGTAACTTTCTGTGCTTTTTAAGATGGGGAAGCCACTATCTTTGAAAAAGGGGAAAGTTTAGTATCCAAATAAAATGACTTCATGCTGGGGGTCTCAGCAGGTAAGACAAAACTGAAAACATCTTCACCGTAATCTTAAGACAGAGTGTAGGATACGGGCTCATCTGTGGTGGCGGATGTAGCCCACCTTTCTGCTTGTTGACAGCAATCATTCACTGCATTGCTCTTGCAGTGGTGGGCTCCAGTTTCCTGGTTTCTGTCCATTCAGACCTCTGAAAATGGTTGAGGGATTATCCAGGTCAATCAACTGTTTTTTAGGAATGCTGAGGGCCTCTGTTTTTTTAACCTCAGGTTTTCACTTCCTGTAGTGACTACCTGCCTTTTGTTGCTTAAAAACTACCCTGAATAATTTTCCTGGAGGGAAATCCCAAGTAGGTTGAACACAAAATGGAAACATAACTCAGCCTTAAGTTCTTTAAGGTCGTTGTCCTTGTTCCTTCATTGGCAGTTTATTCCGTTTTTTTGTAAGCTGATGTTTTTAGCAGTCCACCCAAAAGTTTCCCCTAAGCTTGACTTTAAGTTTTAAATTATGACTGCAAGTTACGTCGTTACCTTTTATAAAATGTAAACTGCTGCTTGGTTCCTCTCATTAATCTACAATCCTTAGAATGTTCAAATCCCTTAAATCTCCTACCTTCCAATTCCTTTAAAATCCCTTAAATCTTTTTTTCTAAATCTTTTCTTTTTAGATACTCCATCTCTGTTCCTTGTTTGTCTTTGCACTAGACTTTCTGTTTCTGCAGACTCCTTTGAAGTCTGGCAGTCTGTTTAATGCCGGGCAGAGGACACCCGTTATTCCCTTGGAGGTCTCCTAAGGACTTTGCCACATACCAAAATGGTGATCAGGACTTCAGTCCTTTGAAATGTAATTCTGTTTTTATTTCCCATGAATGCATCTCGCAGCCCATAGAAAAACTACAGAAAGTGATTTTCATACTCTAAATATGGATTGATTATTTTTATACCAGAAAGAAGTTTTGATATTTGGCTTTCAATACCTTGATCCTTCTAGAAGTACTGAGAATATTTGTCTTACTCTTTTGTCAAATATTTATGTAAATACGTTGAACTGAGAGTTGTTAGGCATTGGACGATATTTGCTTGTCTGTAAAACAGTGTTTGTACTTGCAAGGCACAATGGCTACACAGTTCTTGTTTGTATGCACAGTGTTTAAAAAGGCAATTCAGAAAGCTCGTGTGGAAAATCAAAGCACATTTTGCTTGTGTCTGTTATGTGCCTCTTCCCACTGCTTAATACAGCTCTTCTTTTCATTTTTTGTCAGGAGCTCTCTGAGATCTGAGTGTTTGTTTTCTGTTTTCTTGTAACAGCTATTAGGGATGTACAACAGAATGAGTGATTTTGAGCTCTAAATAATTTATTTCATAATCCTGCAGTGCTTGAGACTAGTCATCCAAAAATTCTGACTTGAAGGAAAAAAATGTACATCGTGTCTCTGCCTTTTCTCTTCTCACAGGAGCTTCCCCCGCCTTCCCCAGTGGTAGATTTTTGTTTTGATCCAAAGAAGCACTATAAAACTATGATCAAGAAATATTTATTAATCTGCTCTAATCTGCTCCCTTGTTTGGGCTTGTTGGGACATGAAAGGAGCAAGGTGGATCAGGGCTGATCTGTACGGTAAGCAGCTGTAGTACTGAATCAAATTAATCCACCTATTGTTAAAAAAAGGGCTATGGTGCTTTTCCTTTCTAGCTTTCGCACTAGACGTAGATACTATTGAATCTTCTGAGTGATTTGCAGTGTACTAGAGTTTATTGCTCTGAGCTCTGCACAGGTGCAGGTTTTTTCATATAGCATTAAGTAGCATGTACACTAATAACGGGTTTTGTGATGTTATAATTGTTATGATGGTGTGAGAGGTGCTGTTATGTTATTTTTGACCTTTTGGAGAAAATTATATTCCTCAAATTATCATTAAAAACAGTTTCCTGTGGATTGTGGCAGTATCACTTCCACTTTTGCTTGCCCTGGCTTTCTCTATGGAAGAAGTTAACCTGGCTTCCAGATTTGGTCATTCCTTAATCTTGCTTCTAACTGCTTGTTGTGACCTTGGAATTTCTTCCTTTCTGCCGTAGGATAAACTGTCTCATTCAGAACAGGTTACTAGCACATATTTGCCTTAGCATGATGCTGAAGCAAAAATTACCTTGTCTGGTTATGTACCAGGTACAAACATAAACATGTCTGGGTAACCATTGTCCAAATACCAATGAAATACATAATTTTCGCTGGTGCAGTAATCCTTGTAACTGTCTTCAAGCTTTGCTTTGAAGCCATGCGAGGAGAGTGCCATGATTGAAGCTCCTTTGGGGCCTCTGCCTTTTGATAAATCTCTTTCCCAAACATGGTTTTATTGTGGCCAAGAAAAAAAAATATATATTTTTTGCTTCAGCTAATTTGATTGTTTTCCAAAAAGTGGAGCTGAACCTGTTAATTCTTGCTTTGAACTGGTGACACTGAGGATGAACTTCCCTGCTGGAAGAAGGGCTGGTGCCCGCACTGGCACAGTGCCTGGATTCTTCTTCAGTGCAAATCTGAACTGTTGATTTCGGAGCAATGATTCTGAATCATGTATGCAGCTATCAGCAATACTGGAACACTGCTAGCTGTGTATTGCTTATTATAATGGAAGCATTTTGAAATATCTTGCATTCTTCAAATTGTGACTTTTTTTGCTATTCAGTATGATTTTTCAAAAATGACTTATTGTCTCCACTCATGCAGCAGAGGTGCTGTTCTAAATGCTTTTTCTTTTTTTATAGCCTTTGTGAATACATACATTAATGTTATGAATTTCCATTTGCATTGTTTTTATTCAACTAACAAATTGCTTCTTTTTCCAGCACAACCTTGGTGCTGGAGATCACCAGCATGATCTATATGGGGGCAGGTTGGGAAATAGAGGGGACTGTATCTCTGCTGTCATTAAGGCATCAGGTCCTTTATCTTTCAAATTGCCTATAGAGTTGATAAGGAGAATTTCAAACAAACAAACAACAACAAAAATTATCCAGCGTCTGGGCATGGATATTCATAACTTATTTATTTTGTAATAAAATAGTACTGTTTGTTCTCACATAGAATAGTATGTATGATTCATAAATATGTTGCAAAATATATCTGTAGCATGTAACAGAGTCCTCTGCGAAAATTCATATCTTTAGTTCATAGCACTTTAAGAACATTTAGGTCTTCCATTTTCTTGACATTTTTAAATAGAACATTTTTTGCCTACAGAAGTAAGTTTACGCCATCATCACAGTATTATAGCTTGTTTAAAAATACATATGCATTAATGGTAATTGCAAGCAAGCTATATACTTGAGCAGGGTTTTCTTTGTAAATTTACATGTTTTCTACTTTTAAGACAATTACTTATAGTAATATTGCAGCCAACACTTTGTTAGAAAATAGTACGTATATATGCTACTCACAATAGAGCTGTCATTTTTCTAGAACATAATAATACAGGCTAAGAAAATAGAAACACACCGTTGTATGGTTGGTTAAAATAATTACAAGCCAAGTTAAAAAGGTGCATTAGGTGGGCCTTGATAACTTGGGTCCCATTCTGTGCTGTTGAATGTCTTTAATCCACTTACAGTTGGAAGCCCCTAGCACCTCTCAGCCCTGAACCTTATGCAAGAGAAGCTTCAACTTGCAGCCCTTTAGGAAATGTAGAGCTTGATCCGACATGGTTTTTACACTGGACTGTTGCTGAAGACATGAATGCTTCAGCTAAAGGCATTCAGGATCAGGCTGCTGCTTGCTGAAGCTCTGGGGATTGGTTTTACACAGGACTCCAACTGCGATTCGAAGTCGTCGGGTGGGTAGGTGGATTCGTGCAGGGCAACATTGCTCCGTTGCTTGTCAGCGTGTGTTGGTTTGCACTCACCAAAATCTCACCCGTGGTCCCCCACAGGCCAGAGGACTGAAAGAGTTGGAGCAACGGATTTTAGGTTACTGTTTTAGTTAAACAATAAAGATTAAAAACAAATGGTTGCATTGATTTTTACCTTGCACGAATGAGACTGTATATATGTATTTATATATTGTATAATAAAGCTGTAGGAAATCTCCGAACTACTAACAAAGCTTACAAATGAGATAAAACAGGGCTGTATTTGCTTGGGAATTTCATAGTTGCCATTCTTTTATTATTTTCATTTTCCGATAATGCAAGGCTATTCCATGGTGGAGCCATTTTTTATGAAACAAGTCCAGATGTGCTTTGGAAAATGCTCTTTTCATGGTCTTTCTGATACTCCTCCTGTGCTTTCTGCAGTTTTTTACCTCTGAGTTTCCACTTGTGAAAGCAGTAGGTTACTAGGGATGTCATTATCAAAGAGAAAATAATAATCAGCACTACTATCAGTGCTATAGTAGATGAGAGGGACCCCTCTAGCTGCTTAGTTTCAGTGTCTCTCGTTGTGTTTAGTT